AAAATGTTACCGTAAAGGTTTATATCGATGTCGAATTAATTCATGTTTTACCGTGGTAGGCAACAAAATGTTGAGGGTGGATATCAGAGATAAGAAAAAGTTTACTTAGTAGAAGGTTCTGATATTTTATGCTGGCTGCCAAATGGCTTCCGCAATATCTAATTTTTACGCTTCTGAATGGTAATTAATATCCTCAGAGTTTTGAACGGATTGGCTGTGTCATCAAGATACCTCATCTTTTTCTAGTAAAAAAAGAACACCCATGAAATGCTATTTGCTATGGCGTTCGGAAGATATTTTCTCCATTCAGCAGATACGCGATAAAGCAAAATAGAGTTACTTTCTGACACATTTAACTCTTCGTTCTTTAGTGGAATCCTCATTGGTGAAAACAACCGGCAAACAACACCAAGTCCAACTGAAACTGACACCCAGTCAGTAATGAATCTTGCCTCAGACATGGCGGAGCACTTGTCGACGACCCTGCAGGCTTGTCTGCGGGCTTGTGTAAGACAACACGCTGTCCCGTCACCTCTACCTACCACCATGCCATCATTCTCCAGCCAGCAACACGGCCATTCGCCCATCTTTCCTTCTTCCTCCATTTCTAATTCCACTGTCACTACTAGCAATGCTTATCAATGGATTGGTTCGGACTTAAATTCAGGTAGTATGGCTACCTCAATTCGCTCATCTCTTCCTGAAGTGAGTTCGGTTTTTCCTCAATTTTTTTTCCTGTTAAAAGTGTTTCGATTCCCGAGTAATTATGCTCAAACGGATCATTGTGCTCTGCTTTCTGAGTATCGATCACCCAAGTGCCTTTGATAGAATTTCATTTAAAACGCTAGTCGAATTTTAAACGCCTCCTTGCTGATTGATTTAGGTTCTTTGTTGGTCATGTCACACCGAGTTGCTCGTATTTTCAAATAGATTTGAGCATGCAAATGAGATCAGCAGATAGGAAATAAAGATGGTGAGGACCAGGAGTTGATATAATTTTAAGAAGTCAGATTCTATTGGATTTATGAATTTTCTTTCATTATTTCCTATTTTAGAAGATTTTAGTAACCTGAAATTGCGCAAACATTGCCATTATTTATCAGTGTATGAATTTAAGCAAACTTATCTCATTTAACCTATTGTTTACTTCCATTGGCACTTTTATTAAGAGAATACCCTTTGAAACTTTGTATTTTGGTCAGGAATGAATACTGAAAAGTGGAGAGGGAAGTTTCGCGAAATGTCACTTTTTTTAGAAATAAATGTTTAAAATCGCTTTCAAATCATACAAAGAATTTCTTTAAATTAATATTTTTTAAAAGGCGTCAATTTTAATTTAAGAAAAAAAACATTCCCATTTGAAGAGCAATTATTCTTTTATACACCGAAAAAATCCTAAAATTCCCCTAACGACGGGGATTTAATTTTACGTCCGTTGACAATTAAGCAATATTTATCTTTTGCTCATTACTTTCATAATTAGAAATCGATCTCGCTTTCCAATGTCCTGTTCTTATGTCATCGATTTTCTTGATTCCATTTTAATTTTCATTCACCAAAAATCGTGGTAGACTTAACTTTTTCCTCTTGTATTTTAGTCATCTCGGGTCTGTCTCCCCAAAAATTTAAGTAAAATTGAAGAGATTCAACTAACTTTTTGGCAAACTTTATGAATTTTCGGGGGATGGAGGGGGGGGGGTTGGCTTGGGGAACTGAATCAAAATCTTTGGAGCATCAAACTAGCGTGTATCCATTATATGAAAATTCAGGTATCTTGATTCTAAGTTATGATAACAATGAGTTTATTTGAAATTAATATAAATTCTTTCCAGGGAAAAGTAGTTGATCTTCGCTGTATACGGAAGTATACAAGAGCAACATCGAATTATTTTCTAAGTCGTATTGCAGTTTGTGGTAATCGAAATTCGGGATCATGTGGCGTATAGTTACTTGCATTAATGATCTTAAATACGCAGAAGGTACATCTCTAGGCTCTGCAATCAATTAATAATAAATCTCATTCTTCTTTACCTCAACGCGGTCCCCGTTTATACGCAGATGGTCCTCTTGGTTATTAACTCATTTCTGGTCTGATCAGAAAATTGGTGATTTACTGGAGCCCACAAACAAAATAGGATCAGTTATTTGCCTATGATTGTTTTGTGCCTCCCTTTTTGGCAGTGGAAGAACAGAATTATTCTGCATTACCTTCGGTTTCTGAATTTTATTAATTCCGGTGCTTCTTCTTCCTCACACTGTGCTTCAAAGTCAAAATTTCTTGTCCTTTCTAATGTTTATAGGTACGGATAAGCAAAGGACACACGAATTAAAATATTAAGAAAGCATCTTTATATTTATTTGTGTATATCAAATGGCAGGCTTTATGAGGAACGTTAAAATCACAAAAATTGGTGAGAGGGAACTGAAGAGTGGTTCATAAATGTAGGGAAGACAGATGCAAAGGTATAGAAAAAGGTAAGGTAAGGTGAGTATAGTGAGAAGTGATCGAATATGACAAAATGTCGGGTCATGGTAGTTTGAAGCCCCTCTATCAGCTAATAGGCTAATGATAATTATCAAAACGCCTGCCATTTGAAACAAACATTGCCTAGGGTGCCTCACGTGGAGGTAAGTCTATCGCACGCTCCAAGCATCTAAACATAAATAGGAGTGAATTGGATTGCAAAACAGATAAGCAATCACTAGTGAGCTACTATACGTTCCAAAGGTCATTGCTCAAGCTCACAGCAAATAAAATTTGATCAGTAAAATTAGGAGGCGATTTCCGGACCGCGAAACATGGAGAATTCTCCACTGCGAATCCACGAAATCAGAGGTGGAAACTCCTTTGACGACCCCTTTTAGGCTCTTTCCCCTCATTCCTTACACTTCAGTTGCCATGCTTCAGTTGACTTCTCTTAACGAAAAAATTTATTTCTTCTTGCATTGGTGCTAGTTAAAATGTATGCTTTATTATTGTTCTGCTTGCTCTTGCTTTTGGAATAATAGGGATAGAATAAATTGCAATAATAATTTTTATCACTGGGTAAATTTTGTACAGTCTGAAAGGGGACATCAAAGGAAGAGTGAATCTTCTGCTCCGCTGATGTAATTCTCCGCATACTATTGACTATCTCCTCCCCCCCCCCCCCCCACGTCTCGTTGAATTTTATCAGTGCCTGATTTTAGTTACTTTATTAACTCTTTGCCTTTTCCGTAAGCAAGGCGATTGAAGGTGAAAAGTGAGTAGAATAGGTGAACGATTTCAGGATATTTGTTTTCATGTAATTGCATAGATCTGAAAATATTTTACTCGCTGGGCAGACTTCACTCCATCACAACCTAATGCTTATTCACTCAGTTACCGAGTAGGCTCTTGTCAGCTTATTGATTTGTAATATCGTCGGTTGGTCAAGCCGGCTCTAGAGACCTTTGATAACAGCTGATAGATGTCACTGAAAAAACAGGAAACAATGGGAGCTGAAGCTCAATGATGAAATTCTTGCTGGTGTCTACTCGATTAAGATTCAAGAAGGCATCATTTTTCTACTTGAGGGACTCCTTAAATTCACCTCCAATAAATGAATTTGACCTTTTCTTGATGCTACTTTTTCTTCAGCTTTATTTTCCTCTCTTTACTTTCTAGTTTCCTCATTGTTTGGTTATATCGATTTTACAATATATTGGCAGTACTGTATTGGGCCACTTTATTGTTTCAATGTGCAAAACATACGCAGTTACTCAAAAAATGCATGTGCAATCATTCATATCTCTCCCTTTTACCCTTTGATCGCAAATATTCACATAATTTGGAGTCGACAAAGGGAAAACGCAAGTATGCAAAAAATTGGAGGTTTTTTCTGTGGCAATATTAGCATATTTTCTTTTTTCTCTGTTGTAAAGAAAATACTGTTTAATTATGAAATTGTTTATCTGAACTAATGAAAAACCTTGAGCAATTTTACATTCTTCTCTTTTTTGCCATTTTGTGTATACGTTGTTATTTTTAGATTTAATTACAGAGTAATGTGATCGATGACACATGGGTGTGAAACTTATGAATAGGGCAAAATTAAACGATTTCCCAATAATCACAGAAAAGATAAAGGTTTGGCGCTAATGCTGAAGTTCTTCGGGAGGCGGGGGGGGGGGGCATTTGATAGTGGTCATTGATTATGTCTGTATATTAGTCTTTAGAATAGGATTTTCGGGGAACAGCAATACAAAGCGGCTTTTAATTTTTGAATTAATATATCAAAAAACAGTCTTCACAAATGAGTTAATAATATTTAAGGAATGGAGGCGACGTACAAATAAAATCAGTGAAGAATTATATGACCTCAGTAAATTAAAGGTCTATTTTCTTTGCAGTGTTCACAACCTTTCAACGCCACCTTTTCTACCTCGTCTGAATTGAGGTCATATTCCCCAAAGAGTCGTTTGAACAATGAAAATAATCACAACCGAATGCAACCTCCAGCTTCACCGATGCTGCAAATACCACCACCTCCACCCCCACTAAATGTTTCGTCCTGGGAGGAGGTTAATCAGACGTCAGGTGGACGATTTAGTAACAGTTCAACAGATTTTCCAAGTGAAATTCCCCTTCTACATTCGTCTTCAAACTCACAGGTTCCTGATGTCACCTTTTCCGCAAAGCAGTCCACCCCAAAAAGAAGTATTGATATGAGTGGGTTTTACAATTGATTTGCCTAATTATTGAAGGGAAACAAAGGGATCATATTCTTATTTGCCTTCGATACCTAAAGGGTCATTTCTTTCCGCTTCACGGATTTCTATGCGAAAGGACAATAGGGTTACAACAGATGGAGACATCATACTTCTATTACTTAAGATACTTTTATACGTTTCCCTAAGTGGTCTAATGTCTGCAGTTTGTGGTTTGATCTATGGTTAAAATGATAGTTTGTTAGATTTCGACGAATTGCTCTGTTTTAACTAATTAAGTGAGACGGTGAAGGGATGGGAACTTGTGGGTGTGGTGACACAAGCAAGTTTTCTTTTTTCAATCCACACCAGTCGTGTCTGTTTGTTGTCTTGTAACACCAGTTGTCATTTGCCTATAGCTACCTTGTTCCTCTTCTCTACAAACTATCTTAAGAGTTCATGATAGGTGATGTTTTTCCAATATGATTAGGCTCATTTTATTTAAATCATTAGTGATACTTACAGTTTCCCTGCAGTTCAGGAAGTAAATTACTCATCTGAGAAGTCAAAAGTTCGTTGCCTATCGGTAAAGACTGACCTAGTTGATAGGGATAGGTTGGAGATTACGTTTCTCTCTATGGAGGCACAAGGTAGTGTGAATCGGTGAGTGAAAAGGAGAGATTGAACATTGATCCAGCCCTTTTAGCTTTATCATTGAGATAACTGGGGAGGTTCACTTCAGTATTGACCACTGTTAAGTAAAGCAATGCATTGATATGCCTTTATTTCCAATCACGTAGTTCAAATGCCAGTTCTAATCCGATTTAATGTAGCCGAAAAGTAAGAAACTTAGCATGAAGGTCGAGAGAAAACCCCTCCCTCCCAAATTCCTACTATAAAGTATTGTGAGATGACAATGTAAGTTTCTCATCAAACAGGCTGCACGATGCCTTCGTCTTTTGGTCCAAAGGGAGTGTCGGGAGGTATTTTTATTTCAATAGGCTTTGGAGTTATTCTGATGACTCATACGCATACAATCACCACCTTCATGGCGCATAGCTGCAGCAAAAGATCCCTTAATGTTAAAGCAGTTATAGCGTGCAAAATACTACAGATATCACCAATTAATTTGTTTTCGATAATCATGCAAATGGGTTACTTGTTTGTCCAAATACTCCACACGTAGTGGTATTTTTGAAATGTGTTTTTAAATAAATATTTTCATTCACGAGTACATGAGACAATTGAATTGTCATTAGTACACTAGAATACTAAAAGAAATAAACGGTAAGACATGTCACTTATTTTTCTATTGCCATAGTTACGTAATTTGAGGAATCAATGCTTGATTACTCTAGTATAGTCGGTTTCACAGCTTACTAGTCAAGGTGGGGGGGGGGGTTTACGTTTTCACAAATAATCTTTCGAATCTTTGAAGAGATTTGCGATTTCTATCGAGGTTTTATTTACTATTTTATGGCGCAAATTCTTGATAACTTTCAGCTTTGTTTAAATGCATCAATTGATTTTAATTGAGTCAAATTAAAATCTCAATTTTTAGTGGTAATGGAAAAGGGAAGGTAATCATGAAATGCTGGAATCGGGAAAAGTTAGCGAAAGGAAAAGCCTTGATCCGGGAAAGTACAATGAAAAACGGAGACACTTGCTAAGCTTGCAGTCTCTTAAATTGCATTGGCTCAACTTTCACAAGACACAATTGTGACAGAGTCGGTAACACTATTTTTTATGTAAGTTTAACCGGGGGGTTAGCAATATGAGAGGGCGAGAGAGAGAGATTAAAGCTCAGCATGTAAGCTTTAGGTGATCGTGGCCGTGATATGAGTCAGAAAGGAAACAATATGAGAAGACGGCAAATTGGATTATAGTCTACAAAGCCGTCGCGATAATCTAACGCGTAAATGAGAAGAACAGATTCCCCCAAAATTCTTAATCTTCCCCAATCTAGGAATATATTTTATCGATACCTCCGAGGTGTTAAAATATGGTTTTTCCACTAAAGCATTCTGTATAAGTACAGTAAATTATATATGAATAACTTGATTGGGAATATATTCCTCGTAGTAAGTGGTAGATTTTAAAGACGAATTGATCTATACGTTAATGAATTGAATCTCGAAATCTAGGTTTTTTATGAACAGGCTATTCGATTTGCCTTATCTCGATTTCAGAACCAACTTGGTATCCAACTGTAGAGTTGGTTCAACCTCTTTTCATGTCGCATTCGAAAGATTGAAGAGATGAGAGTTATCGAAAAAAACAGATTCGGCTATTTAAATTAAGTTGCAAATATTTAATTTTTTGGTTTCTTATTTTAACTGGATAACAATTGTCTATTTATTTCTTTAGTATAGAATCACAAATGACTACTAATTTTACTGTTTTTTTGGTTATCAGACTTTATGAAATCGACGTTCCCATAACAATTTTGTATTATTAATCTGCTTGAATTATCATTGAAGTTACTTTATCCCAAGTCGTTTGTCTTGATTACAAAGGCAGTATTATGAAGTCTCGTTAGTGACAAAACTATTTTAATCAAAATTTACTAGCACTGATGGCCAGACTGCTCTTTAGGAATGAATTAATGGATATTGATCCTCCAATCTTGGACGTTGCAGACTGTTTTCAAGCCTGTTTGATGAACAAAAATATCCATTTGATGTTCTCAGTTAAAATGCAATTTGCGCAAAAGTTGCATAGCAGTAAACATTTCTTTGAGGAAGAAAACATATGAAGATGGTCTTCTTGAAACGTAATGATATCTCTGGAGATTGAGTTTCAATGCACGACTCTCTGTTCATAACAAATTTTGATTAATCGAGAAGTTCAATTCTGTTGAAAAGCAGTTCCCAAGACAATTGGGGGCAAGTAGATTGACTTTCACTAATCCCCTTGTAGTTCCTCGGTCGCATATTTGGTGATTCAGGTCCTAGTTGTCAGTTGCCAGAAGGAAGCAAACATCTGAAATTGTTGGAGTTTAATGAATGGCTAAAACAGTCCTCTATTCATTTTAATCGGGATTGGCTGGTATAAGATGAGATTCACATCTAACAGTTTAAAATTCTGCAGAAGTTGCCATAAAACACTTAAAAAAACCTTCATACACTTTAATGATACATCTTGTTAATTATCAATTTGACTAATGTATGTTAGCAATTCGAAATGCAAATGTTGTACTTCCACTTACGAAATTTTTCTCCGAAAGAAAGCTTTTCCTTTTACTTTCAGGTAAAGCCACCAATCTTAAAAATTGTTAATGACTTCACTTGAATTATCGAAGTGGACTAGAAAGTAGATTATTTTTTCGTGGGCATTACTTAACGGCACTTGTCATCACTTAGGCTTCCCCATTCGCTAATTATATCGACACGTGTCAACGTATTTTACTAATTACTCATATAGGTTAGCTCTTTCACCCTTCAGTGTCTTCATTATCATATTGAAAGAGCACTCACATGAATGGCTCATTTTCTAGCGTTCATTTCAACTGATCTAGAATGAGGTATATATGATTCACCAAGTCGTCTTCTTTCAAAATGATGGCCAAGTGACGCAAATACTGATAAAACCTTGGATGTTGAAAATTATTTGATCTTATATCGCAGACTCTGATAAGTATATGAGAGTGTGTTTGATATAATGCCACTATATTCTGAACGTCCACGGAGATATTTTATGGTTGCCGTTGGCCAGACACTTTACGAAGGATGCAGATGATTTGGCTTAGCCGTCACGATTGGAAAGGGGGTTTTGTGCAGCTTTCTTTGATTGCCAGATTGGCCAGTGTTGCAGTCAATGAATTTCTCAAAAGCATTCAATCCCAGTAAGCAAATGATCTCAATACTCGAAAGGTGAATTCTGTTCGCGGAATTCTACTCATGACTATTGAACTGTGCAGTTCCACTCCGTATTGATGTCATAGCGGAACTTTTTATAAAGCCAATGCGCTTGTCATTCTTCGCTAACTATTGACGCGGGATCATGAAAGCTGATATAAACCTTGTTCCTTTTGTTTAAGTTTTAAATTTCGCGTATTTCTAAGTCAAGGTAGTGTAATTCATTTTACCTCTGCATTTCGAATAAAAGCACTCGAATGTACTTATACAACGAATTTGCAGAGTTTTCCGTGTTAAAAGTAGAAGGGGTTGCTTACCGAATTGAACTTTATTATGAAAATCAACCAAAAATAAATGACTTGAGGTTCATTTACTGATATGTTCTGAGTAGACAAGTTTGTTCCACTCTTCCTTTTTATTATCAAAATTTAGATCAGACTGCGGCATAATGATCTCTGTGGGGTGGGGCTTACAATCAGTCGATATAAAGTTTTCTTTGAGTTAAACAAAACTTTGTCATAGTATTTTTGGAAAGTATAATTTTTCGCATCGCTTCCATGCAATAACTTACACAAATAGATAACAATAGACTTCTGAAAGGATTTTCAATTGTCTGTCCTTTTTAATAAGTTACCTACTCTATAACCATGGTTACGTAAACATAAATACTCGGGTACGTGCCTGGTCACTAAATTTATTAGTTGGTAGAGAGTGTGTTCCATTTTAGCAGGCCAAACGCTGGTTGGCCAAGAGTGTTGATGATGTACTCGGTCGAATTATTTATTCTTATTTGTTTATAATTGACAGACTGGCGACCACTGGGAAATTGCTCTTCTGGAGAAGCTGAACGAGATGCCGAGGGATTGTGTAGTCGAGTTAATGGGGACAGAGCCATCCACCAATCGGAATCGAAGGGCTCACCGCAATATAGGTATCCCATCCAAGTATCTCAGGAGGCGAAGGCAAGAAATCTCGAGGACGCTTACCATGATTTGGTACAAAATTTGGTTTTAAAACGGTCTGCTGCAAATAGACCCGAACGACTGATCGATATGACATTCGAGCAGGTGTGTTCACAATTGTGCTACGCCATTTTTACTTAATTAATTCAACAAAAAGCAAGATACCATTTATTGTGACCAAGTTTTCTCCCATACATCACTAAGTCGTTCTATTAAGGGCCTTAGCATTAATTGAGAGAATTTAACTTTAATATCAAGTGCCTTTATGCTCATATTAGTTCACATTCTGTCTGAAGTAACTCCGAAACTTGTGATCTTTGTTCAAGAAAGCTCATTGTGGATTGTTTACCTTCATTTAAAAAATGACTCGTTTATTGTTACAATCTGTGTTAAATGATTTTCAGGAAAATTGTATGTTAGGTGACATGAGCATGATGGTGAGCAACACATACTTGAATAACTAAAAATGTTGCTATTGAGGCGTATTTAAAACCATTTCGTGACTTCCACTATCTTCCTTCGTATTGACGAGAAACATGAATTCAAATGGGGTGTGTAGAAGAAGAAAGTCTAACCGAGCATTTCGTGGAGGGTTTTAAATTTTTAAATGCTATTTTTAAGGCATCAAACGTTATTATGTTTTGCTCTAAGAAACATTTTTTTGCCTTTTAGCTCGAAGCAGAGAAGCTACTTATGCAGCGTACGCTTTTGAACTTCGAGTCAAAATACGGTCGCCCTACAGAGCGAAATGATCGAATTTTGTTGCGTCCAGTGTACGATCGGTATCGATGTGTAAAGCGTCTTTTAGCCGCTGGAGCCAGTCACAATTGTGGAAGAAATCCTCTTACTCCTGCACATGCTTTTGCACCTCCTGATATGCTAGAATCGGTGGAGTCTCTCAGCCCTCTGAAAATCCATACACCGAATTCCGCTATAAAGCTCACAACTCCACATTCAGATTTCTACGTCTCAATCATTGGAAGTTCTTCAAGGGATTCCGCTACTGGTAGAGAACAAATCTCTCTTCCAGCGAGAAGTCGGCATACTCGATCTTCGAATGAGGGCCTCGATTACCCCCTTATACCGTTTACTTCTGTAACCAATCGGTGTACGAGTGTTAATTCATCCGTGAAGCCAAAATCGACACCGGATGAGTGGTGTAAGTAATTATTCACAATATATACTTTTTTAGATTTGAGCTGAAAAGCCAAGGGGGGGGGGATTGCGTTGTGCCTTTCTAAAGGTCTACTATATGCTAAAATTTGAGGAGGAGACTGAGGAAATTAGATTTAGGCGTACTTGGCTAATTTGGACGGTACTTGAGCTCTTATAAATAATTTTTTATATCAAATGACAGGCGTTTTGATGGTTCTCATTTACCCTTTAGTTGACTTCAAGCTTCATAGAGGAGAAGGAACATCACAGTGACAAAAAGTCAAGAATAAGGGGGGGGGGTGAAGGGAACGGAAGAGTGTTTCAAAGATGTAAAAGAGACAGATACAAAGGCAGAAAAGGGGTAAGATAAGTACCGTGAAAGTGATGGAACATGAAATACAGTGGGGTGATGGTAGTTTGAAGTCAGAAGTCAACTGCCGGTTGATAGCCTTTTTTGCCGTATGAGTATGCGTTACCCAGGGTGCACCACGTGGAGGTAAGTCTATCGCACACCCCGCTCTTATAAATAATATGTACACTATTTTAAGTATTTGATGAAGTGGTCTATCTCTTTCATTTCCCACTGACAGAAACGTATATTTATCGTTTCAAAGGAAAATTCCTAATAACACTAGTACTTCGATGCCATTATTCCATAGTTATTACATTAGTCAGTAAGATGTTTTAATTTTAAGTACAGCAAAATGAATGGAACGCATCTGTCAATAAACTAAAGTGTAGCTTAAATAGCGATTTAATATTATTGCATAATGGCAATAAATTGCGTTATTTTTGCGAAAATGATTTACAAATGCCAATAAAATGGGAGTTGTTTTACTGCATAATTAATAATGACAGTGGAATATAAGGAGGATTTCGGGCAAATGTGCACTCCCTATTGTAGGTTTTTGATTCACTCTGGGAAAAGGTCGGTTGGTTTTCTTTTTGTGTGATATCTAAACCTGTGAAAAGGTTGGTAAATGTCAAGACGCATCAAGAAGACAGGAAGGCTATTTTTAGACTTCTTTTTCTAAGGAAAATGTGAAATTACTTACCAATTTTTTGTTAGTTTTCTACCCCTAAATATTGACAAAAAACGCGTAATTGAGAATGGCTATATCGTGAAAATTATTTTGACGAACGCCTGCCATTTGAAATAAATAAATTTTTAAGAAAATTTATTTAGCTCAGGTTTTGCGTATTCTGCGGTTTATGTCAGGAGCAAAAATTGTTTGAGTTGGCATCTGATCGACAGCGGTGATTTTGCTTTGAATTATTCAGTTTCTTATAGCATCCATTGTTTATGTCTAATTTGTGCAACTGGAATAAGCGAGAATGACATGGCGCACTTGAAAGTGGAAACCTAGCAAGTTCGAATGCCCATTCTAGGTCCAATTTCTCGCGTTGTGGTTAATAGATCTCAGTGTAAGACAACATTATCCATTTTTCATCACGAGAAAGTGACTAAAATCCGCTAACAGTAAGTGCAAAAATAGGAAGAGTTTAAACAGGCGTTGAATAGCATTCCTTTAATAGGTAAGTTAAGTTATATCTGTATTAGTAAATGTCTACTGACATTTTAATGCCCATTTTCTTCCAGAGGTTGCAGAAGCAGATCCTCTAAATTTGAGGATTTGTATTATTTTTAACCCATGACGAAGCCGAAACTGGCAGATTATGATAATAAGGACCATCTAAACGAAAGAAAGTTTTGGGACGTCGTGAATCAAAGTCGTATTGCATCTAGACTCTCCAATCGTCGGATTGTCTGCATTTTATTTCTTCTTCAATTCTTCAATTTTTTTCCCTACATCTCTTCAAGGAAATTTCCTTTTTCGAAGTTTTCCCTTAATTTAATCACCAGTATCATTTCGCAAAACTATTGCAGTAGCCTTAAACTAGACAAGGAGGTCTACTTGTTTGTGAATGTCGACACTTCGATGATGATACGCTTGCTGGTGCCTTCCCATCTCAATTGCAACAATTGTCCATGCAGACGATTCACGCCTATTAGCTTTGCGCATTAAAACCGAATCTTCTCCCCCCACCATATGCTTCATATCTGCATTGAGCCGTCTGAACCACTATTTTATGCTAACCTTTAGTTATCTCCAATCCTGTTAACTTTGAATTCTGCATAAAATATTGTCTTACTTTAAATTTTGTCAGTTGGATCCCTAGGAGTTTCGCGGACTTCAGGTCAGCGGACGGATTATCCACTACGACACTCTGGCAATGAAGGGAACGATATGGCTAAATGTCGACTTGATCAAAGTATGCATGAGGTACTCTCAATGGTTAACCAAGGAGATGAAGAGGGGTTAGATGATAACGAGACAGTTGGTCGACAGACTCCTGTCAACGAAGGCAGTCCAAATTTATCTTTATCCCCCTCCCCCCTAGGACGTTCTGAATTAGCTCCTCACCAACGGGTATGTAAATAGCTATTTCAATATGAGCTCTGGCATTCATAATTTTACACTCCACTGAATACCATTTACATTTCAGTTTTCAAAGCCTCGACAGAAACTTTTAACTGCACAGTCACAAACTCAGGCGCATGGGTTAGGGGGAGATAATTATGGATATTTTGAAGAGAGCTCTTTGCGGAATTACCAACAATCGCTAAGACAGTCTTCTCGACACTTCATTCAAACACCTATGGGCTCATTGTCACAACGACAGCAACAAGCGAAACCTTCATCTCCCTACTTACAACGACAGTCCTATCAAGTTACAAGGAGTCATTTGACAGGAGATGATCCAGAGACCGGCAAACCGCTGTAAGCATTCCTCTATAGTTGGAAATTGCCCCAACCAATTCGAATCGAAATTCGATTAGACACATGGTGTTATATTTCGAGACAGATGTCATTGTCATTGGGCATAAAGCGGCAGATAAGAAGGAATAGCAGACGACTCCAATAGGTCAAGTAAGGGGTGGAGAGGGCGGTAAGACATGTCTGATGAAACCACTGTAACAATAGGCACAAAAGAGTATATTTCGTCGAGGAGATAGTATCCAGCCGGTTTAATCATACCACCTCGACTTATCAGGGCCTTGTTGCAGGCATGTTGAGGCAGATGGGACTAGTGAGATCTCACCATAGTTCGCCCGGTGAACTCTAATAAAAGTTGTCGATAACTAGTTGTTGTCGTTTAGATCCCCTTCAAAGAAACAAGTTTAATAGGTGAGACGCCGATATAGAGAGTAAGTGTAATTTCAATATTCATTCCTCAAAATTGGTTTGGGGATTTCTCTAGCAATGGTCAGAATTATCGTGGTCTTAAAAGACATCTTAATTTAGGTCATTTGAAGTTTTCAAATTTACGCGTATTTAAACAAAATTACACTAGATTAAAACCTTTTCGGGAATGCCTCTTAACATTAATACGATTCTAATCTTTCGATTTACTGAAAAGAGTTCTGTTCTTCGTACTTTCATTATTTTCGATCTATTTGTAGTCTATTCAACAATGCAATATTTGATATTCATGAAACATTTTCTTCTGTAAAACTATTGTGACAATATAAGTGCCTGCATAGCAAAACAAAAAATTGTTTCAGATTGAAGTGACCTATGTCATTGACATGAAAGGCTCGTTGTTCCAGGTCTGGACAACATCTCATTTGCCATCATACAACATGGGGGTAGCAATCCAAAATGCATGCCACTCAAAAATGTAAGGTGGACTGAAGAACTACTGACTTGACCATCCTGTTGAGGAAATTTTAATTTTGGTACAGATATCAAGGGCAGCAATACTTGATCTTTCTCACTGATTCCAAAATGAATATCTTATTCATTTTCTCAAAAAATTATGGACTCAAGTAAGTGTCTTTTAGACGAACACAAGGGGGGGGGGAAATCAGTAAATTAGAACAGGGAACACTTACAAGCATCCTGTCCATTCCAGTAAATAGAAGGCCTGGAGAAGATGAAGTCGGTAGAAGAACATTTTTATCAGGGGAGCAGAGAGGAGGTGCGTCAATCGATAAGCAATAAAGCTCAAATCATGGGTAATAGGAAGAAAGGAGTTGTATAAAGAGGAGTGCTGTCAAATAATGTAATGATCAAGGACGGGCCGTGGAAAGTAATTAACAAAGGTGACAAGAATCTGTGTAAAAGTCAGAAGCGACCATGGAAATTGCGGTTTTTTATTTGTTATATTTTTATGATTACAGAGAACAAGCTATTGCTGATTACGTTCGAAAATATGCTCAATTTTCTGTGACGGAGCTTCAGGCTGAATCCGATTCCGTCAAGGAGTCTAAAAAGACTTTGCAAAAGTTTCTAAAGGACTACGAACATGATTTTGAGCGAAAATATGGTATGCTTTAATCATACTGACCTGATTTATTTACTTATAAATTGTAAGTAGTAATCAATATTCTTTTATTTTAGGGCGTAAGGTGGAAGCGGAAGATAGACAACCGTTGAATCCAGAATACATGCATTATAAGATGTTAAAAGCTCGTCTTGCTAGCTTGGAACGACTCTTAGAGGCTCGATCCAATCGGATCTTGTACTAGAAGATACAGATTCAAAATAGACAGGTCTTGAACAGGCATAGTGCCTTCTCCTCTCGTTCTTTATATTTCGTTCTCATGGAATACCCATTTTCCTCTACCTAAGTGTTTTCCTTTTTGAGTGATCCTATCTACCACTTTTCCAGCATGCCTACTTCTCTCATGTACACAACTGTATACATCTCAATATGAGACCTATTTGATCATTTTTAGTCTTTAAGTAACGAGCAGATTACCGTTGATGACGAAGTGAGTTCAAGTCCAATTCATGAGCGATAATGAGTGAGTTTGTACACATGAAAATAAGTAGAGAATTTTCAAAGTAAGCAGCATCTAAATAACATGTCTCCCCTTGCGGATTTGGACCACAGATCATTATATCTTTTTTTAACAATATCTAGCCATAAATGTTAAAGAATTTAATTGAAAACCACTCCCCTGATAGTGAAATTATTGTGTAAACGAACATTCAATGAATTACATAGTCTGGAAGCTGCATATAAAAATTTTTGATTTTAATTAGCACTAGAGAAGGTCTTCGGTAATGCATTAGTGATCTTCCTTTTTGCTCTTAGTCTTGATAAGTAATAAGAACAAATGTAGTCACTAGGCTTCACATCAGATCGAGTTAAAAGCTTTTACTCATTTCGCTTTACAAACAGCCCGTGCATTGACCTCAGTTTTATTCGAAACATGACACATCCACCTTCGATAAGGTGCAACAATTTTGACTTAGGGCATTAATTTGAAAATCCAAAAAGAATCATTATTAAAGACAAAAGCTTGGTTTTAAAGGTGAATTATGATAGCGAAGCTTATCACAAGAGCAATGTTGTTTCCAATAAAGCAATTTTAATGTTTTATTGCAAAGATTGTTGAGCAGTAATCACAATGACCGTCTACAAAGCCACTGAGATGTCTTTCGGTGTACAACCAGTGAGATCGCCCTGATTAGTTCTTGTCAAGTGGTGTAGTATCAGGATTCAAAGTCATCTTTAAAGTGGTATAAGTGCGCGTAGCACATCACTTAAGAGCCCTCTTTAACTTTACATTTTTGTATAAATCAGTGGCATCTATTTTTGTCATGGCAAATTTTATTAATTTTTTTTTCTTATAACCTACAGAATAGTTAGCCAGTTGCATATAATCACTTTTATGGGAACGTCAAAATATCCTGATTTGATGAGTAGATTTATTTGCTAGCAAACTGAAACACCTATCTCTTATAGGCTAACAAAGTTAATTAAACACGAATAAAAGGGCAATTCGAAGTTAGATAAATGAAAATGAGTGACGTAGAGGAAATGATAGTTGCCGCTTCATATGTTCGGCCACAACCTATTAGTTGGCACCAATCCTTTTGCTTGTTAGCGTAACTTCACTGATTTGATCCGTCAGACAACTGGTGTGCCATCACTTCCGTGTGGATGATCACTATGCTTCGCCTAGGATGATTCTGGTTCTGATGTTGATTCCTCACTCTAAGTACTATGGGATGTTTATTTTGCCAGGATTCTAGAAGGAGATGGGAAGCAACTTGAAGTAGATATTAAATCCCAATATTAATGATGTCACGCGTACTCAGGTGCAATCCGAATTTAAGATATCGATTTAATAGTGTTCATTCCAGTCAAATTTTCATTTCAGAATCGAGGTTGGCTCAAGCGGAACAGTAATGAAATGCATAGGGATCAGTGATTTAGGAAGATGAGTCTCCGGTTGAGAAGTATAGTGATACAGCAGTGAAATATTTTCAAATGAGGCAGAGTTCAATTTTCACGATGGAGCTATGTATAAGCAAAAAAGATGACAATGACATGATGATGCTGCCATTCAATAAATAACTTATCTGTTTGGAAATTACAATCCATCGAATCTGCGCATCTGCGAATAAGGAATTAAGGTAAGCTAGGAGATTCACTAGCCAATAGCAGGACACTTGCCAATGAGCAGATCATTTGCGGATCATCAAGAAATCTAAAACTGAGTGTGCGTTATTTTCCATAGTGGGACTCTTTTATGATAGGGCGATTTGAGCATAATTACAAGAAATATGCGTGTGTTTCATACTGTTCGACAACTTCTCAAATGGGAGCTATATTTTTTGATTTTGTACGTGGTTACAAGTGTATTTGTGTGTGTTTTGATTGTCTTACTGTCATAACACCATTGAACATCGAGCCACTGCATGGGAAATCACTAGCCGCAAAATGTTGATCCTTGCAGATCTATGAATATTGTCTTGGTGCTTTTCAAATGCAACTTACAAGGCTATTCTGCATGCATGCAGTGAATTCAAGGTGGATATGCTGATTTTTGCTCTTCTTTGTTTTAGATGTGATCCATAAAATTGTGTTTATGGCTTATAGTAACCATTGGTACAGAAAAAGTGAGAAGTAAAGAAACTAGTGCGTACTAAATGATACAAATCCAGTTGCACATTTCAAATCAAGGAGTTCTATGCTTAGAGTAAGCAGATGAGAGAATAACGCAATAACTTTGATGGAATAGTGAGAACAAGACAGGTGAGTCTACTCACTACAACAAGTAAAACTGCAACAGGATCCAATTCTAATATAGACAATGGATGTAGTAAATGACAACAATTACTAGGAAACGGTCTGAGATAAGGTGCTGAAGTGGCAAACCATTCAAGGGTGGTTTGGTGTGAATTCCATATATTTCAAGGGTAAGATCGACTCAAGGAGACTGTGGGACACGTTATCGCATTTACGCGCGCGGTTACTATAACGTGCGTCCGTATAACTTTCCGCGCAGACGACAGTAATACGAGTGACCAATCAGAAGCCACCATGTGTTTATAACTAAGCAGACAAGCCGAATATGACTGAGCTTGCATGGTTTACACTTTTCTTATCGCCGTGTGATTGGATATACGTGTTCCGTGCTATACGTCTCTAGCCTCTATAGTTGGGCTATGGCTTAGCTAGTTCTGGGAGTCTAGCTAGATGTAGGAGAATTCTCCGTGCTACTCGTCTGTTTCCTTTATAGCTGGGCTATGGTTTAGCTGGTTCTGGGAGTCTAGCTAGATGTAGGAGAATCTCCTAGCTAGTTCTGGGAGTCTAGCTAGATGTAGGAGAATTTGCCACAGAGATTTTGGAGTCAATCAGGCTTTACTAGTGTAGCAATCCGCTACAAGACGATCAAAAATTAGCATACGACTTGATTAAGGCTTAACTGCTGAAATGAGTATTCGATGAAGTATCGACTTGAATCACAGCAAACAGTTACGAAGCGACACATTAAAGATGGAAATTTCAACAGAATTAACATTTCAAGTTAAAAAACTTGGGTGCACTTTTTCATTTTCAACCAAGATCTGGGAAAATGAACAATGGAAAATATATTTAACTGCTACTGCAAACTATTCATTGAGCTTCTCATTTGAACTTGACACTAAGTTTGGACAAGTGTTTAACTATTTCAGTGCCAACTCGCCGCCTTTTCCACTGAATAGGCTGCGTTTTGACACCATAATGGGATTCCTAGAGCATATAGGGCATCGATTGACGTAGTTTGAAATTCATTCAGACTAATTATGCTATTTGGGGTGTGCGATAGACTTACCTCCACGTGGTGCACCCTGGGCAACGTATACTCATACGGCAAAAAAATCTATTAACCGGCAGTTGACTTCTTACTTCAAACTACCACGACCCCCCTGGTTGTCATATTCGACCCATTGCACTGTACCCACCTTACCTTTTTCTCTACCTTTGTGTCTGTCTGCCTCTTTTACATCCGTGAATCGCTCTTCTCTTCCCCACCCCTCGACTTTCTGCTACTTTGATGAACCTTCCCTCTGTGAAGCCCGAAGTCAGCTAAAGGGCTAATGATAAGTGTCATAAAGTC